CTGCTGCTCAAGCCAGTAACTCCGGAGACCTGCGTGAAACGATCCGAGCGATCGTGCGGGAAGAGCTGCGCAAGCTGTTGCCTTCGGCACAGCCTCAAGTGGATTCAATCGCTGACATTGTGCGAGAAGAAGTTCGGCAATCGCTTCAAATTCCCCACGCACCGCTGCCCGAGCCGGAAGCTATGAGCTACGCCGCTGCACTGCGCCACAACGCTCCTCCCCGTCCACGCCAAAACGCCGCCCCATCGCACTTCCGTCGACAGACGCCACCCCCACCACCATCCCCACCGACGTCATACCGTTCGCCAGCGTCCCAGCGCAGTGCACCGAGGAAGACTGACGTCTGGCGCACCCCTGACCATCGCCCACTCTGCTACCACTGCGGCGAGGCCGGACACACATACCGCCGTTGCCAGTACCGACAGATGGAACTGCGTAGCTTCGCCGTCAATGCACCGCGTCCACAGCCAGGAGAACGACCACGTGACATCGCCGACTGCCTGACAGGAACTCGGTGGACACCACGAAGTCCTTCTCGTTCGCCGTCGCCCAGCCGCCACACGTCACCGCACCACCGGCAGTACTCTGGCCCAACGTGGGGCCGGTCTCCTAGCCCGTATCCGGGAAACTAAGGGCAGCAACCGGTGGAGATGCGGTTGCTGTGCGACGAACTACCGAAGATCCTCCGACGACGACGACGCCGCGACGGAGCTTGCCTAACACAATGCCAAAGAGGCGAAGCCCTGACGGTGAAAGCTGACTTACCGAAGGTGGCCTGACGACGCAACATGGAAGCAGCGAAACAAGCCGACGCAGCCGTGACCCGACGCCACGCCCTAACTGTAATGCGAGACGGCGAACTAGTGACCTCGACGTTCTTATCGACGGCCACAGTGTGACCGCTCTCGTCGATACTGGAGCCGACTATTCTGTCATCAGTGGGTCGTTCGCCGCGAAGTTAAAGAAAGTTAGGACAGCTTGGAAAGGCCCTGAAATCCGCACAGCCGGAGGTCATCTCGTAACGCCTGCAGGAATCTGCACAGCGAGAGTAACCATTAACTGCCGTATTTATTCTACAGACTTCATAGTCCTACAGCGTTGCTCGAGAGATGTCATCCTTGGCATGGACTTCTTATGCCTCCATGGTGCTGTCATCAACCTAAAAACAAAGTCGATAACATTATCCACAGAAAAAGCACTACCGCCGCGCACGCCGTCAGGACACTATGCCTTGAATGTGCTGGAAGAACAAGTCACCATTTCGCCTCGCTCAAGCGTCATTATTTCAGTCGGTGCTCCTAAATCACCTGACTTGGAAGGCGTCGTTGAAGGCAGTCAGCATCTGTTGGTCACCCGAAATATTTGCGTCGCAAAAGGAATTGCAGAGCTGCGGGGAGGCAAAGCAACGGTTATGCTCACGAATTTCAGCAATGAGTACAAACATGTGAACAAAGGAACAACGGTTGCATACACCGAAGAAATTGTCGAAGCCACCAGTGCTTTCGCCCTGGCCGATTCTGCGGAACCTGCTCAGAGGAACCAAGCCCCTCCCATAGCTTTCGACGTCAATCCCAGACTTCCGAACGATAAGCAAGAACAGCTCAAGGCCCTGCTCCTGCAATACGAAGATTGCTTTTCGTCGTCATCGAAAATTCGGAAGACCCCAATCACGAAACATCGCATCATCACCGAAGAAAATGCCAGACCACTCCGTCAGAGTCCGTACAGGGTTTCGACGCGAGAACGTGAGGCCATGAAGAGACAAGTTGATGAAATGCAGCGGGATGACATTATCCAGCCGTCCAAGAGTCCATGGGCATCCCCCGTGGTGTTAGTGAAGAAAAAGGATGGGACCCTACGTTTCTGCGTCGATTATCGCAGCCTGAACAAAATCACAAGGACGTGTATCCTCTCCCACGAATAGACGACGCACTTGATCGGCTCCATAACGCCAAGTACTTTTCGTCAATGGACCTCAAGGCTGGCTATTGGCAAATCGAAGTCGACGAAAGAGACCAAGAGAAGACGGCGTTTATAACACCGGACGGCCTCTTCGAGTTTAAGGTGATGCCCTTCGGCCTTTGCTCAGCGCCTGCACTTTTTCAACGCGTTATGGATACGGTACTGGCAGGATTGAAGTGGCAGACTTGCCTTGTGTACTTGGACGACGTCGTCGTGTTTTCTTCGAGTTTCGACGAGCATCTTTGGCGTCTTGAAGCTGTACTTCAAGCCATCAAGACTTCCGTACTCACACTGAAGCCAGAAAAGTGCACATTTGTGTATGAGGAGCTCTTGTTTCTGGGGCACATTATCAGCAAGTCTGGAGTTCGTCCCGATGCACGGATAACAGCCGCCATCGCCGACTTCCCGCCGCCCACTGACAAGAAAGCCGTGTGCCGATTTCTGGGCCTGTGTGCCTATTATAGGCGGTTCGTGAAAAACTTCGCCCGCATCGCCGATCCTCTCACTAACCTTACCAAGGCCGACGTGGAGTTTAAGTGGGAAACGCTGCAGGAACACGCTTTCCAGGAGCTTAAACATCGCCTCCAAACGCCTCCGTTACTTGCCCATTTCGACGAATTCGCCGAGACAGAAATACATACTGACGCAAGCAGCGTAGGTCTTGAAAGGGTTATTAGTTACGCCAGCCGATCGCTATCCAAAGCAGAAGCAAATTATTCCACAACAGAAAAGGAGTGCCTCGCCATCATCTGGGCTACTTCGAAATTTCGCCCCTACCTCTACGGCAGGCCCGTCAAAGTTGTGAGCGACCACCACGCATTGTGTTGGCTAGCCACCTTGAAGGACCCTTCAGGTCGCCTCGCACGATGGAGCCTGAGACTTCAAGAATATGACATTACTGTCATTTACAAGTCCGGCAAAAAACACTTCGACGCCGACTGTCTCTCTCGTGCGCCTGTCGACCAACCGCTACCCGACGACACGGATGACGACTACTTCTTAGGAACGATAACTACCGACGACTTCGCTGAGCGACAGAGGGCCGACCCGGAACTTAAGGCCCTAATAGAATACCTCGAAGGCAGGACCGCCGAAGTCCCGAAGGTATTCAAGCGTGCACTTGCGTCGTTCTTTCTACGAAACGGTCTTCTACAAAAGAAAAAAACTTTTTGCCGCTTCGAGCTAAGTACCTCCTTGTGGTGCCTTCAGCTCTGCGACCAGAACTCCTGCAGGCCCTGCACAACGACCCGACGGCAGGGCACCTCGGTGTTTCTCGCACGCTCGCGAGGATACAAGAAAGGTACTACTGGCCACGTCTTACCACCGACGTCACTCATTATGTGAGAACATGCCGGGACTGTTAGCGACGCAAGACACCGCTGACAAGGCCAGCGGGACTTCTGCAGCCAATTGATCCACCTTGCCGACCTTTCCAGCAGATTGGTATGGACCTACTGGGGCCGTTCCCGACGTCGGCTTTCGGAAACAAGTGGATCGTGGTAGCTACCGACTACCTCACCCGCTACGCCGAGACAAAAGCCCTGCCAAAAGGCAGTGCATCCGAAATAGCTAAGTTCTTCGTCGAAAATATCGTCCTACGTCACGGCGCCCCGGAGGTCCTTATTACCGACAGAGGAACGGCATTCACTGCCGACTTAACTCAAGCGATCTTGGCATACAGCCAAACAAATCACCGCCGGACGACAGCGTACCACCCACAGACCAACGGCCTCACCGAGCGGCTTAACAAGACGATCGCCGACATGCTGTCAATGTACGTCGATGTCGAACACAAGACGTGGGACGCCATTCTTCCGTATGTGACCTTCGCATACAACACGGCGGTGCAGGAGACGACGCAGATATCTCCATACAAATTGGTCTACGGAAGGAGCCCGGCAACGACGCTCGATGCCATGTTACCCAACGTCACCGACAAAGAAAACCTCGATGTGAGCGAGTACCTTCGACGTGCCGAAGAAGCCCGACAACTTGCGCGTCTCCGTATCAAGAATCAACAGACGACCGACAGCCACCGTTACTACCTTCGACGACGCTTCGTGGAATACCAGCCCGGTGAACGTGTTTGGGTGTGGACGCCGATACGCCGACGTGGACTAAGTGAAAAGCTTCTGCGCCGGTACTTCGGACCGTACAAGGTGGTTCGACGTCTCGGCCCACTTGATTACGAGGTTGTCCCTGACGGCATCACGAACTCTCAACGACGCCGATCGTGACCTGAAGTCGTCCATGTCGCGCGCCTCAAGCCGTTTCATGCGCGTTAACAAACTGTAACAGTCTTTTTTTGTATGATTGTTGTCTCGTAATTTATTCATTGTACTTTCTTGCACTATTATTGTACCTTCATCTTTAGTTAAAGCATCGGGACGATGCCTTTTTTCAGAGGGGGGCAATGCCACGTTCCATTTCCCAAGTTTTCGTTATCGTCCCAAAACACCACACGATTCTCAGCGCAAACCGCGCCTGCAGTTTTCGAGAAGGTTCCTGACTGTAGTAGATCATTTCGATAAGATCACGCCCACTGTGCGAACGGTACAGATTGTTCTGGAACTCACGCCACCGCCAGCGATAACGCTAGAACATTCGACGGCAAGAGTATAAATGCCGACGCGCTTCGCCACTTGTCAGTTGTTGATCGAAGGCCGACGCTCCATTCGCCGCTATCAGTCTGAGACTGCTATTTGTGCGAGACTGCTGCTGTAATTGGACTTTCCGTTTACCGGGCACAGGTTCGCCCTAATAAACAGTTAAATCCCAACACGAAGTCTCCTGTCTTCGGCCACGTCACGACCCCGTGACAATATATATATATATATATATATATATATATATATATATATATATATATATATATTTATATATAGGAAAGCATTACATACTTCAGGGCTCGTTTTTCCATGCATTGACACAATATTTATGAGATATAACAGACAATAATGCCGAGGCAAATATAGGGGAAGGTATTAGACCAATTGTAATGTAAATGTGAAGAAAGAAAACGAGGTGAAAAGATAGCTTGCCGTGAGCAGGAACCGAACCTGCAACCTTCGGATAACTCGTTCGATGCTCTACCACTGAGCTACCACGGCAGCTATATATATATATATATATATATATATATATATATATATATATATATATATATATATGTGTGTGTGTGTATATATAGGGCAAAAGAGATAAAGTAGAAGAGGACTTGCATCGCGAAAGTCTCGCTTCCTACTCAAGGCTGCTGAAGCTACAACTGTGTCGCGTCTCAATCATCACCATCATCATCATAATCATCATCATCATCAGCCTGACTACGTCCACTGCAGGACAAAGGCCTCTCCCATGTTCCGCCAGTTAACCCGGTCCTGTGCTTGCTGCTGCCAATTTATACCCACAAACTTCTTAATCTCATCTGCCCACCTAACCTTCTGTCTTCCCTTACCCGCTTCCCTTCTCTGGGAATTCAGTTAGTTACCCTTAATGACCCACGGTTATCCTGTCTACGCGCCACATGCCCGGCCCATGTCCATTTGCTCTTCTTTATTTCAACTATGATATCCTTAACCCCCGTTTGTCCCCTAATCCACTCCGCTCTCTTCTTGTCTCTTAAGGTTACATCTACCATTTTTCTTTCCGTTGCTCGCTGCGTCGTCCTCAATTTAAGCTGAACCCTCTTTGCAAGTCTCCAGGTTTCTGCTCCGCAGCTAAGTACCGGCAAGATACAGCTGTTATATACCTTCCTCTTGATGGATAGCGGCAATCTACCTGTCATAATTTGAGAGTGCTTGCCGTGTGTGCTCCACCCTATTCTTATTCTTCTAGTTACTTCAATCTCGTGGTTCGGCTCAGCGGTTATTACCTGCCCTAAATAGACGTAGTCTTTTGCAACTTCAAGTGCACTATGACCTATCTCGAAGCGCTGCGTCTTTCCAAGGTTGTTGTACATTACTTTCGTTTTCTGCATATTAATTTTAAGACCCATATTTCTGCTCTCCTTGTCTAACTCCGTAATCATGAGTTGCAATTCGTCCCCTGAGTTACTCAGCAATGCAATGTCATCGGCGAAGCGCAGGTTACTAAGGTACTCTCCATTAACTCTTATCCCTAACTGTTCCCATTCTAGGCTTCTGAAAACCTCCTGTAAGCACGCGATAAATAGCATTGGGGAGATTGTGTCCCCCTGCCTTACACCCTTCTTGATTGGTATTCTGTTGCTTTCTTTATGAAGCACTATGGTAGCAGTTGATACTCTGTAGATTTCTTCCAGAATGTTTATATATACTTCATCTACGCCCTGATTCCGCAGTGTCTGCATGGCGGCTGATATTTCTACTGAATCAAATGCCTTCTCGTAATCTATGAATGCTATGTATAGTGGTTGGTTATACTCTGAGCATTTCTATATTACCTGATTGATAGTATGAATGTGGTCAATTGTTGAGTAGCCTGTTCGAAATCCTGCTTGTGCCTTTGGTTGATTGAATTCTAATTTTTTCTTTACTCTGTTAGCAATTACCTTTGTGAATAGCTTGTATACTACAGAGAGCAAGCTGATTGGCCGGTAATTCTTCAGGTCCTTGTCATCTTCTTTCTTATGTACTAAGATGATGTTAGCGTTCTTCCAAGACTCTGGTACTCTTCCCGTCAGGAGACACCTCGTAAACAGGGTGGCTAGTTTTTCTAACACAATCTGTCCTCCATCTTTCAGCAGATCTGATGTTACCTGATCCTTACCAGCAGCTTTGCCTCTTTGCATGCTCTCCAAAGCTTTTCTGACTTCTTCTATCATTACTGGTGGGATGTCATCTGGGTTACTGTTAGTTCTTATAGTATTAAGGTCGTGGTTGTCTCGGCTACTGTACAGATCTCTGTAAAACTCCTCCGCTATTTTAACTATCCTATCCATATTGGAGGTTATTTTGCCTTCTTTGTCCCTTAGTGCATACATCCGACTTTTGCCTATCCCAAGTTTCCTCGTCACTGCTTTGACGCTTCCTCCGTTTTTCAGAGCGTGTTCAATTCTCTCCATGTTATACCTTCTTACATCGCATACCTTACGTCTATTAATCAACTTCGAAAGCGCTGCCAGTTCTATTTTGTCTGTTGTACTTGACACTTTCATGATTTGACGCTTCTTAATTAGGTTCTTCGTTTCCTGGGAAAGCTTGCCAGTGTCCTGTCTAACTACTCTGCCTCCAACTTCCACTGCACACTCCGTAACGATACTCGTCAGATTATCATTCATTGTATCTACGCTAAGATTGGTTTCCTCACTAAGAGCCAAGTACCTGTTCTGCAGCGACACTCTTAATTCCTGTACTTTCCCTCTCAGTGCTAGCTCAAGATTGGCTTCTTGCGTATCAGTTTCTGTCGTTCCTTCTTCAAGTCTAGGCGAATTCGAGACCGTACCATTCTATGGTCACTGCATCGTACCTTGCCAGCCACTTCCACATCCTACACGATTCCTGGGTGTGCACTCATTATAAAGACTATTCCGTTGTTATTTTCGCCATTATGGCTCCTTCATGTCCGTTTGCGGTTTTCTCGTTTTCGGTAGAAGGTATTCAAGATCCGTAAATTATTGCTTTCTGCGAATTCTACTAGTAGCTCTCCTCTAGCGTTTTTAGTACCGATGCCATAATCCCCTACTGCCTGATCTCCATCCTGCTTCTTCCCTACCTTTGCATTAAAGTCACCCATCACTATAGTATACTGTGTTTTTACCTTACTCATTGCCGATTCCACGTCTTCATAGAAGCTTTCAACTGAAGCATCATCATGGCTGGATGTAGGCGCGTAAGCCTGTACTACCTTCATCTTGTATCTTTTATTCAGTTTAATGACGATAGCTACCACCCTTTCATTATAGCTATAGTATTCCTCTATGTTGCCAGCTGTTTCTGTGAATTAGGAACCCCACTCCCAGTTCTCTTCTGTCTGCCAAGCCCCGATAGCAAAAAACGTGCCCATTCTGTAGCACCGTATAGGCCTCATCTGTCCTCCTAACCTCACTGAGCCCTATTATATCCCATTTAACACCCTCTAGCTCCTAGAATAGTACAGCTAGACTTCCCTCAATAAACTGCGGCGTCTCAATAAACTCCGTAAACTCTGTTTGTAGACGCCACAGATTTGTGGGGGTACGGGGTACGTGACATCAACATACCACGGACCCACAATCATTTAAACGAAGTCTGCGGGGTTTATTGAGACGCGACACAGCGGTATCTCCAACTGCTATGAGTCTGAGGATGGCAACGTACCGTCTTATTCCCTATATCTCTCTTTCTCACTACACACAGGTGCAAATATATATATATATATATATATATATATATATATATATATATATATATATATATATATATATACAAGGAAAAGAGGTGTATACTGTGTGTGTGTGTGTGTGTTACACAACAAAGTTACAGCTTTGCCGCAAAGGCGAAGCAATGAACGTGATAGCAACACATTTGAAGGTCACGTGCAGAATGGCAAGCAGATCAAAACGTGCCCCACGTTTCTCACGCACAAATGACACACGAAACGTATTCACAGGTACAAATGAACGCTAATAAGCGTCTAAGTTGTTACTTCGCTGTGTCTGAAAATCGCGCCTTTTTGGCAAACGGAGGCTGTGCAACGATTGCAGTGACATTTGTGCGCCCGGTACCTACAGCATGATCTTTCCAGTGCAAGCCCAACTCCAGCCAAGACGTATGATCCTCCCCACGGGGAGATGAGAACGCGCGAGAAATCTTCCACTCACCTTCTCTCCGCGTGCCAAAGTACGCGTGAGAGTTGAAAGCTACCTCATGCTCAATGCGCCATCGTGCTGATAATGCAGAAAGCACGATAGTTCTCCCCCGAGATGCCTGCCAACAGTCGTAATTGGTAGATATAAATAGCTTGTCGTTTGAACGTTCAAGCAGGTACCCCTCGCTGGCTCAGTGGTTAACGCCACGCATTCACGACGTGGAGGGCCCACGTACGATTGCGCACCCATATCTCTTTTTTTCTGGATTTTTTGTGCATTTATATATATGTAGATACATATAGATATACGATACATGATGACGACGCCGACGCCGGTGGCGAAATCCATCCGACAGTGTCCATATAGTTCCAATATTATTTAATCAGAAGAAAAATTTCTGAAGCATGTGCCTGACCGAGCAGTTCAATCTGCGACCTCTAGCTCCACAGAGCGCTACCTTAGACAACTGTACCATGCACAACGCTCGCGCCTGTACAATAAGGGTGAGCTTTTTATAAACACTACTGCTGGAAGTACACCCATCCCCGAGGAGCTTAAGCGTGTTCTCTGTTACGCAAACCTTCCACATTATCTTTCACTTTAAAAACTGCCCTAGGGTCGTGCGCGAAGAAGTGGCTCCGTTTCTTTACTAACTACCGATGTGGAAAAAAACGAACACCTTTCATCAGACCTTACCGCGTGGTAGGAGACGAAGATGGTGACTCGTTGCAGCACAGTTTAAAGAAAGAAAAAAGTATCTAAGAGCGTCTTGCGCAGCGTTATCGACACTTGCAGCGCGTTGACGGCTAAACATAAAGACGTAAAAAAAAATTTGAGTACACGCTTGTTTTGCACGTGTACAGCTGTGCGTTCTATTCGAGTGTCCTTCTTTGTGCTTCAGCGGTGCGCGGCAAGTATCAAGCTGCTGGTCATTCTTCGAGTCACATTCCAATATCCCGAAATCGCATTCGTTGGTTCACCCTTGTGGCGAAACTGCATTTTTTAAAAACGATAGTCTTTCTTGGGGACCCTCGACGCAAACATTTTGGTCTGTCTGTCTGTCTGTCTGTTTGTCTGTCTGTCTGTCTGTCTGTCTGTCTGTCTGTCTGTCTGTCTGTCTGTACATTTGTCTGTTTGTCCACTTTTAACAGCATCGGATATTTGAAACGGCCGACCCCATCCGCAGTGCCCACTTATGTTGCTCAAGATTAGGCGTTCATACTTGTGCAATTGTCGAATAAATAGTAAATATTGTGCGTGTCTGGGGCACCATAACAGCACGTATATGTTCTGCATGTGCGCCTTTTACTAGAAAAGACATACATAAGTAATTTTAAGGACCATAGCGCTTATCACGCTGCACTGACCATCCAACGCTTGCACAGAAAGGCGAGTGTTTCCAACGCTTTGCTAAAACGAGATGGGGGTGCGAGATGGTTCTACACCTTATTACCTCTGAGGCGGGCGCGCACACCCGTCTCAGAGCCACGCGCTTTGTTTAAAAGAAAAAACTGCCAGATGGCGGTAATGTCTCACGTGTGACGTGACTTGATGCACTCGTTCGCCTCCGATGCACGCTCGAGCTACTATAACGCAGCGCCTCCAGAATACCATTCACCGATTTTCTTGAGCAGAACATCAAATAAATGTTTTGTACACTCTCTCCACACGCAAGACTATCGTCTGTCGACGACATTTTAAATGCAGATACGGGGCAAATTTCTTATTTTACAAATTTACACTTTTGTCGAATCGACGTGCAATTAAATGAGGCTGGTCTGGAATGAGTAGTTTTTTTCACAAAATCAACTGTTAAAGGCGATCAACGTTAAAACGCGGGCGGATTTTTATGGGAACGCAAAGACGGTGATTGAACGCACACACATACACGCACAAACACGCGTACACATACATACATACATACATACATACATACATACATACATACATACATACATACATACATACATACATACATACATACATACATACATACATACATACATACATACATACATACATACATACATACATACATACATACATACATACATACATACATACATACATACATACATACATAAACGCACGTACATCACACAGACACAAAACACACGTGCGACCAAACACGCACAGAGAGACGCAGTAGTGAATAAAGCCTCATTTACAAATATCATGTGGATCCAAAGCCTCTATGAGACTACCCCTAAAAGTAAAGAGCCAAAGTAGACCATAGTAGCGCTGACCCGGAAAAACGAAACTTCAAAGTTGTTGAAGCGTGGCCTTCAGGCAACCAGCACTCCCTTGTCAAAGTGAGCATTTCCTTGTTAAAATACTTCCTTCTTATATTTTTTGTAATTTCGCTGAGCCAGACCTAGCTAACCTTGGGCAGGTATAACAAGCAAGAATTTTTTGCATATACATATTACACTGAATGTTACGATTCTGAAATTTAGCTTGAAACCCTTTTTTGTGTGATTTGAATGAGCCAATGAAACTGATCAGCAGGAAAATAAGTTACGAAAGCGCTGCGTGCTAATTGGTGAAAATTATTCGATAGCTCTGTAAAGCATTAGGCGAAAACTTTTTCGCAGTTGGATAAGCTTGAGCTCCCAAATAAATTATTTGAATAAGATGGAAGACCAGCTTAAGCTGAGTTACTTAATCATGTCAGCATTGACCGCCGGATTTGTCGATCACGTGTTCAGCATCGAAACGAAGACGTGCGCAAAGATGTTAACATAAAGAGTGTGCTAACCTAATAGGAAGGAGTTAGATAATGGAATGCAGTAAGGGGATACTTCAAGCTGCGATAGAATGCTTTGCCGAAAGCTCTTAGCCCACCACGTCGAATTGAGTTACGCATACCAGACAGTGAAGCTAATATATTTGTACATGTAAAAACATAGACTTGCATATTTTATAATGATGATTGCCCTTAAAAATTACTATGTTGTTGCTTGTTTGACGATAAATAAGCATTAAGTCATGTAAGGGTATGTTATAGCCGAGTTGTGAGCACCTGACTAGTCCTGGCTTGACTGGGCCATTGCCTTCTCACTTTTCAAGCTTTCTACCCCTTACTATTTCAAACTATACTATACTATACTATAATATACTATACGATACTATACGATACTATACTATACTACAATATATCATCCGTGGGTACGCTCTGTCTTTTGTTTTTTGTTTGTGCCTGTTTCTACCTCTTTCTCTCTTTGCATGTTTTTTTCTCTTTCTCTCCTGTCCACTTCTTTTTTTACCTTCAGATATGGGTCGCGATTACGCGCGAAATTTTATGATGATTACATTTTCATATATATACGACAAGCTGTAAACCTGGACCATAACAGTCCTGCTGTAAAATTGAGTATTAACCGGCATCAATGTAGAACACCAGGCTGTTCAGGGATGCTATGACATACGTTTTCAAAAGAACTGAAACACTTAGGCCACCTTGTCTATGCCAACGCGCTTTACGTTTGTCGGTGCGTCACGTAGAAAACCATTTCGTTGTTCCTCCTAGCAAAACAAGGATGTTGTGCCAAAGCCAACACAAAAGCTATCGTTGGCCAGGCTCATTTCAGAAGCTGTCACACACGGTGACTCCGCTGTCTCAAAGCATCCAGTAACGTATCCCATAATAAAAAAGGCTACATTATCTGCGCCTCGGGCAACAGGGCGTGACAGCCCCTCCTAGAGCATCAAACGCATTTCTTCTTCCAGATTTTCCATATGCCATCACTTCCGGCAGCATTCACCCTCCTCCCCTGCGAGATCGTCAGAATACTTCTGACTTAATTTGTGGCGGGCTCCGTAATGGAGTCTTATGCCTTGGCGGAGAGGCCATAAAAGCGCCTACTTGCGCGTCGCTCGGCGGGTAGAAGACGGAGGGGCCGCGCGCACAATACGGCGTTCGTCTCTGCGCAGTAGAGCCACGATGGCGACGGCGGACGATCGCAGCCAACGATGGCTTTCCGTTCTACCTGCCTCGGGACCCTCGCACCGCTAACTGGTACTTCCCGGGCAACAAGCAGCTGATAACGCTACTGATCGTCGCATACGTCTACATCGTTAAGATAGGTGGCCCTCGGTTCATGAAGAACCGCAAGCCGTACGATGGCATCAAGCCGTTGATCACGTTCTACAACGCCGTCATGGTGGTGTGCAGTGCTTACTACGTCCACGCTTTCTTCACGACCGCATACATCCGCAAAGGTTACAGCCCGATCTGCCAGGGCATCGACTTCGACGCCAGGGATGAGGACACCATGTATCTGCTGGGCCTGTACTGGTCGTACACGATGGTCAGGATACTCGACTTTCTGGACACCTTCTTCTTCGTGCTCCGGAAGAAGGATTCGCACGTGTCGTTCCTGCACGTTGTACATCACGCCATGGTTGCCTTCAACGGGTGGTTCGGACTCACCTATGGTCCGGATGGCCAGGCCACGGCTTTTCCGGTCATCAACGGCTCTGTGCACGTGGTGATGTTCACGTATTACTTCCTCAGCTCTCTTGGGCCCGAGGTGCAGAAATACTTGTGGTGGAAGCGCTACATCACGCAGTTGCAGCTTATTCAATTCGTAGTGCTATTTGTGCATTCCCTGATGCCATTCTTTTTCAACTGCAACTACCCCAGGTCTCACTCATACATTACGATGGTACAAGCTGTTTTCTTCTTTTGCCTCTTTATGAACTTTTACGCCACAAACTACCAGAAGGAGAAGACGCGTGTACCGACGAAATCAGCAGCTAACGGCAAGATACATTGAGGCAGCTTGGTTTTTTTTTTCTTAAGCCTGATGTTCATTGGGCTCCTTCCGGAGCTATCAGTGTTTGTTTGTTAGTTCTTTTTTTTGCTGGTGAGAAACCGCTGTATTGCTAACCTTGCTCTGCTCTTGAGACCCAAGTGCAGCTGCAAGACCGTCAAGCGGTTCGAGACACTAATGACGATTACTTTTAGTGCTATAGAAATTTTTTCTCTAGTCCTAGCCAACAACGAATTCTTTCCCTGTTGTACGCGAACACAAAATGCCAACCTATAAACGTCGAGGGGGCGTTTGGTATGTCCGAAAAAGTGTTTGTGGTAACCTGGGTCTCTATGTACGAAGAGTGGTCAAACTAATTTTTTTTTGTAATCGGAGGCATCTTCCTACCCTGTCACTCAACATAACACTAGGCATGCAGCCAAAGGCAAATAGTGCTTACGAACAACGTTAAGCTGTTCAGCGTCAACCGTTCCAACTAAAGTTTTTCATGAATGAAAGTGAACTTTTGACAGAACTTCTGCTGATCGGCACCTACCTCCTAGTCTTGTTGAAATGAATGTTGAAATTAGCAATATAACAATTGCGCCTGCATTAACGCTAACAGTAGTACGCGATATTGATTTGATTGCATAACATGGTGATCACGTTGCATTGTCTTTGTGCTTATAGATGTTCTGTTCAACATTGTTTTGTTACAAACGCCCAAAGTAAAATTTGTTCATATCTTTATGCTTATTTCGTACGGTTATTCTTCTACATTCTGGAATGTGCTCCTAAACAAAATGAAGCAAATTTCAAGCGAGAAGTAATGTAAAAGCGTTCAGTTCTTTATCGTACATTATTATTAGAGTTGCGAAGAATCAAACAGGATGAATGGACGGTAAGATATATTCGCCTAGTCAAAAGTTACTTTCAAGGGTTTTGATGGCAGTTCCGGGATAAGGTGCCTGTGGTGTCTCAGCTGAGCCAGAGTTTGTAAACAGTTGTCTGCAAAGGGATTAAAATCAGTTTGTCACCTTCTACAAGAATACTGAGGTGTGAGAGTTGGTGGCCATAACCTATTCGTTGGCGTATGTAAGGCGTATTTGTTGTTAGCTCGGGTAGTTTTGTTGCGCTAAGCAAGCTAGTGTACATTTTCGCTGCCGCCAAGTCCAGGGTAGCCCTGGTAGACTTGTCGACTTTGTATGTTTGTTGCGAACAAATTTTTGACAGGCCAGGTTTATTTGCATCGTAAGTCCGCGTAGCTACGGCACGAGATAAACTCACGAGTTCCAAGTACTGCTCAGCGTAAAAGTGTTTAATGCACTGTCCAAATTATTTGGCAGTCAACCCTCTCCTAGCTCCCTGGCATTTAGGCCACCCACCAGAAGGCTCGAGCTTTCGGCTCTCGAGTCCACTACCTAAGTCAGTTTACAAAAAATAATGCAATATAAAAATTAGGGAGGCTATTCTGTAAGCGTTCTATTATGTACTGGGGAAGAGATCAAGCCAAATTACGGGAGGGAGCCTCACGGGATTGTTCGAGGCTAGTTTGATGGTCAAGTCGTCAGAGTATCCACGGAAGGTGCATAAAACAGGTTCAGGCCCCATCCTATCATTACTATGAATGTAAAACCGTCTACACACGACTTTGATTGGATCGAAGCGCAAGCACTTGCAGCCGGGTATTCAAAATTAGCCTGCTTTTTGCCGAGCTTACCCCAATCCCGCGCTAATAGTTCGAAATATTCGCCCCAAAACACTCGTTCAGTTGCGAGGCCACCTATCACCCACTCAATAAATTTACACAAGTAAATTGTTGATCCCTCCCACTTTTCAGTCTCAACCCTTGAAAAACAATGATTGCTAATATTCATGTGCGGCTATAATTTCGTATCCATGCGTTGAAAGCATTTCGGAGTTCCCTAAGCTTATCTAATAAATTTTGTTCCCTTTAGTTCTTTTGTTCGACCTTTCCCCGCATATGAGAGAACGCTAACAGAAAACGGCACTCTAGGTGGTCGACAGGTGGCTATATGGTGCGACATCATGCAATTAGACAACTTCATACGCTGGTCAGACTTCATTTTCCGGGCCTGAATCACTAACCTAACGGCAGGAGCTTGTGTGGAAGCAATTCCTACTACATTTACTCCTCAGTGCAAGATGTGCCGAGACCCCGAGGCCAACCTTATTCATTTACTCGGGGGCTGTCTTAGAATCCGTATCCACGGCAGCCCGCAGCGTTTGTAAATTAGCACTACGCAGCAGTTGGAGGCCACACTGCTAAGCTCCGACCCAGACGAGCAGGTCTGCACCGTAGCTTGGCAATGTGCAGGGGCCAACTGACCAGCGACGTTTCCTATCTCTTATCTTCTCTTCCGCATACCAGATTTTTTCTCCTCGCACTTCCCAATCCCCGTGCAGTGTTGTTAATGGGACCTCCCCTGAGAGAGACAGTTATGACACCGCACTTACTTCTTCCTTTCTATTATTCCGATAGCAATTATATGGACACTCTCGGCTGCATTTCGCCGGCGGCGTCGGCGTCGACGTCGATGTCATGCCACGTATATGTATACGTGGCATGACATCGTATATCATATATATATCATCGTATATATATATCAAAGCGCATGAAAGAAAAAATCTAGAAAAAAGACTCCGGTGCGCGGAATCGAACGTCGGACCTCCGCGTCATGAATGCGAGGCGTTAACCAGTGTGTCACGTGAGAGGTTTTTTTTCTTTATTTGAGCCACCGAGAGGTACCTCCTTCGACGTTCAAGTGGCAATCTATTCATATCTACCACTTACCGCTGTTGGTGGGCATCTCTTAGGAGAACTATCGTGTTTTCAGCATTATCAGCAAGATGGCACAATGAGCGCGTGGCGGCTCTCATCTTTCACGCGTACTTTGGACTGCAGAGAGGTGTGGACAATCTCTCACGTGCCCTTATTTCGCAGTGGCGAAAAGGAGAGGACCGTACGTCTTGCGTGGCTTAGTCTTTATCTGGAACTATTCTGTTGTATTTACTGGGCGCACATAGCTCACTGCAATCATTGCAGTCTCTGTTTGCGAAAAGCGCGTGCTTTTCAGACACACCGAAGTAACAACTGAGACGCTTGTTCACGTTCATCTGTACCTGTGAGTACGTTTCGTGCGTCACTTGTGCGTGAGAAACATGGGGCACGTTTAGATCTGCTTGCCATTTCGCGCGTGACCTTTCAATTTGTTGCTATCGCGTTCACTGCTTTGCCTTTGCGGCAAAGCTGTGACTTTTTTTTTCAAAGCCACTCATCCCGAAATCAATGAAACCATTTTCACTGGTTTCCAGTAAAAGTACTGTCCTCCTCTTTTTCATGTTGTATACTTACTCCGATGAGCAGACACTGGTGGACAATGTCGATCGACTATGTTGATATACTGTTTCAAACATCTTACATTGTTTTATTTCTTTGCTTCAAAAATAGAAAAAACACAAGCCCTAGTGTCAGATCACGCCGGCATTTGGAAAGAGGTCTTTCCCGTATCGCATATATGAGTCATTTGTAAGGCGTGTTAAACATCACCTTCGGAAAATTATACCGATGCGGACATCCAGAATTACGCAGATCTTGCCGAGAATTCTCTAGTATGGAGTTATTGTTCCACGGTATAAGGCACGGTGTAGTATAAGGTTCTTGTTCCACAGATACAATCGAATCGTTTGTTTTGCACCGGCTAACGATAACTTAAGTGAATGGCTCCATTACGGGCGTACATAATTCTCTCACTCCTGATTGCATAGGCCTTGTGTAGTTCCGCGATGATAAATTCACCTACATCCGAAAAAAATATAGAAGAAACGACAGAAAAAAATAAGTATGGGGGAACAGGGTGCGTTAAAAGCAGCGTTTTTAGGCATGCCATATGACTTTTTAACGACAAGCCTTTCTCAGAACTATTACGTCGCTCCGTGACAGATATGAAAAAGGCCACTCATGTTTTCAATGCCATCATGAACTGACGTTGAAAAGACGGGCGTAAACTAAAACATAGCGGGCACCTTTAGCGACTCCAGGAAATAACGAGGTTTACAACGAGAATCTGCTATTATGGGCACCATAAATTTTGTGTATTAAAGGTAAATGACATATACGGGCCGACTAACGACCCATTCACTTACGTACTCAGAGGACATACACTTTTCTTAATTACCACGCATGGTGCACTTGCACTAATGGCGTTTTTTTTTCTTTTCAGTGTCACTTAGTGATTCCTCGATGTGAAAGCGCCCTTCACTGAACGGGCATTACAAGTGAACGTCTTTGAGTTAAATGTGAAGAACTAGATTTTTTTCCGCGTGCGCACGCCACTCTCCAAATGGGGTACACATGAATAAAGATTGCAGAGGACAGTTGAGAGAGGAGGAACTTAGGCTCGGCAGAAAAGTTGATACTACGAGAAGACATGTAAAACATAGAAGTACGCACGTATATACAAAGCGCCGACTGCTGCCAATAATTTTTTGTCTTTCTGGAGGCAGGATACTTACAATGATGACTCTATCTATCTATCTATCTATCTATCTATCTATCTATCTATCTATCTATCTATCTATCTATCTATCTATCTATCTATCTATCTATCTATCTATCTATCTATCTATCTATCTATCTATCTATCTATCTATCTATCTATCTATCTATCTATCTATCTATCTACCTATCTATCTATCTATCTATCTATCTATCTATCTATCTGTCTGTCTGTCTGTCTGTCTGTCTGTCTGTCTGTCTGTCTGTCTGTCTGTCTGTCTGTCCAGCCACCTACATTTGGGCGATATTGCGGTCGTCTTCACAACTTGCAATATACCACAGTTGGCATAGCTGGGTATTATTGTATGGCGAGGACGATTTACTGGTCAGACACGAATTATGTGAAATATCTGCCACGTATGTCATGAAACCCTTTTTTTTTTCGTCACGTGTAGATGAAAGCTTCAGTCGCGTGTGTGAGGCGTCATGCAGGTATGCGCCATAGGTGATTAATAGTAGCCATCAGCATAGTAACAAGCGGTAATACAGTACCGGAGACTTCAACACGGATTTCTCAAAATGCAAACGTTCGACCGATGCCACATACCGTGGAAGCCGATGTTATGCGAAGCATGCGGAGGGAAGCTGACTGTGGCGTAATTTTTTATTGAGTGAGACGTTATGAAATGACGCTCAGGATATGTACGAATGTTGAATGCTCAGATATATGTTGAACCATCGCGTATGTTTTGTATAACCGGTTGTTTACAGTGGCGTAGCTATGCCAACAACATGAGCATTAGCAACACCAGAAGTGGTTAACTCATATGTAGTGCTGGTGCTCGTGAGGATGGTAGCCCTGAACACTGCTTCATATATCAACTTCATTGCATGGCACTTAACCACCACTGACAATAACCCGACCTGTCATCATCATCAGCAGCAGCACCATGACTCGCCCACTGCAGGACAAAGGCCTCTCTCGTATCCCGCTAGTCAACTCTGTTCTGTTGTTGTTGCTGCCACTTTTTACCTGCAAACGTCCTGATCTCATCTGGCACCCAAGTTTCTGTCTCCCCTTCACCCGCTTGGCTTCTTTTGAAATCCCGTCTGTGATCCTTAACCCTTTGCTGTCCGAAGCTTTTAACAATTTTCCAGCTCTACTGATCAGAAACTATTTTACCAGTTTTTTTGCA